TTTACCGTTTACATCCCGCTTACGCGGGATGTAATCGGATTATTAATTCTTGCATAGCGTTACAGAATTAGCGTAATATACCTTTTTCAACAACAACGTTGTTGTTGATATTTGTCTATTTACCTAATATTTAACATTTTTCTTTCTTTTTCATAGGATTTTTTATTGGGTTGATTAAATGATCGTCAAAGGCAATAGCAAAATAATTTTTTGAATAACCTGACAACTTGATAATTTATTATGTGATGCCTTGTAAACTTTTGTTTGATTAGCTAATGTGAGTCAATTGCCTATAGTGTATGTTAAACGTTTCACAATATATTAATGATTATTTGTTAACTACTATATTTGCTTTCGTTCCTGGTTTCTAGCGTGACTGTGTCATGCAGCTAGCTTATTGAGTTATCATATACGTTACCTCATCAACGAAGAAAAGAAAATTGGTTTCCATTTGTTATGTAAGTTATTTAATTGCATGAAAAAAAATCAACCCTTATTCATATTAATTATATTTTTATACTTAATTAAAAGTTTCTATGAATGCTACACGATTAAACTTCGTGAACATGTAATTGATATCCAAAATGATCGATGGCCGGGTTATGAAAACCTCTTTATTTAAAAGGTTCGTAATGAAATTCTTCATATTCCCGGAGAACCGTCCTATCTTGAAAAATTAAGAAGACATTAAAGATTTGCATAGATGAATTGAAGATCTACCCACTCTTAAACAAATTGAGGAGGTTATTACGGATCTTAAGCATCACTTAATGACCTGAAAACAAATAAATCAATATTTCTTATTTAAAAATTTAAATAGACTAAATAATAGGTTGACACTAAAATTCAGCTATAGCAATTTTAATATCTTAAATTTAATATTCTAATACGTGAAATGGGTGGTTATTTTCGTTTAAATATTGTATATCAAGTGTCATTTTTCAGTATATGATGAGTTCAATAGTTTAGTTTAGATAAAGAGAGAAAAAAATTAAACAAATAAACAAACACCAATATAACCATCGCTAATCTAGGTCGTAGTTGCATGATTTCAAACTTCCTGTATAGTTCTCAAAAAGCCTTAAAGTGATAGACTTTTAACTCAAAAGGTTTTTAAATTGTTTTCTTTTGTTTTGCATACAAAAAAATTTTTTGGTAACTATTTCTTGCCTTTATTTATATTAATAAGTTCAACACAATAACGAATGTACAGGTACAAGTACAATTACAAAACCAACTAAAATATATTTATTTGACTTTTATTTTAAAATGTTAAGATGATTATTCAACAATTAAATTTATAAAGTATTTATTGTGTTTATTGTTTCCGGGAGATGTTCAAAAATGCTTCAACATATGCACATTAATGCTAGTGTAGTTTCCTGTCTTTTGCTCTTATTTTCAAGAGGTAATAGACAAATTTGATGCTAATTTTTCTAATAAATTTCGAACATCCCATATATCTTCAAGGAAATACGATGCATTCGTTTGTTTTTGTTTCTTTCCAACAGTACATGTAAAGCAATTTAAAGATTTAAATTCATCATTTTCTTTTAATAAAGAAAATACATGCTCATTCGGTTTCTCATCACCAATACAAAGCACAAAGTATTCTTGTGTAACTTTTAAATCTTTAAAAATTGTCGAACTACAGTTGATTGATCAACCAACGAAGATCGGATTTCTAAAATATTATCACTCAAAATAATCTGAAACAAATAAAATCAAATTAATCATAAAACTTGATGAACCTGTAACTTAATTAAAGATTTAAATAAACATACATTTAAAGGAATACGGGCCAAATGGCTTAACAAATTAACTTGTAAATCCAAAGTCTGTCATAAACCAAACTCCGGATTTGAACAACAATTACGCCATATTATGCCAATCTCTTTTTTTTCAATAGATGTTCCAGGTGTTCTTTCTTCATAATGCTTAAATAAATGCAGAACTTTTTCTTTTAATACAGGATCAACTTGTTTAACAAGCAAAAATAAAGAAAATGAGAAGATAGATATTAGTAATAATGATGAAATTGTATGAATAGATGAGGTTGTTACTATTGATTCCTGTCAAGCAAATTATTTTTATTTCAAAGCTCCTGTAATATATATTTCAAATATTGTATTAGCATCATCTAAACAGCTATTTGAATGCTTTCTACTAATCAAATACATTATATTAACTGTAATACTATCTACCAATATATGTACATATAAATATGAATGATCCTAGAATAATTTTATTTAGATGGAGTTTATGTATTTCATTAGTATTTTGACAATAATGACATATGTTTATTGTACTGATATTCATAACTATTGGTCTGTAAAACAAAAAACAAGTAGTGTCACTTTATGTTTTAAAAAGTATATGTCATATAAGTAATTTTGGAATATTGTTAAATATCTAATATTAACTAATACAAAAAAAATGATAACCCTTTTTTTTTTGTTTAGAAGTTTTATAATGCATTTAATGACAATTTTTCTAAGATAATTATATTCAGAAATTATCTTTATATTGATAAATCTATGTGTTAGTAGATAGGTAAAGTGAATAAAAGACCCTTTTAGTAAAAAATATACAGAAAACTTTATCTAATAGGTTGTGAATTTAAAGCAATTACTGATGCTCAAACCAATTTAATATTGTGATTAGATTCTTCAGAGCCCTATGAATTTTCTATATAAAAAAATTACTCAAATAATTATATGCTAACAGTTGTAATTATATTGCAGCTAACTAAGCTATAGTTTCATAATAGCAAAACAATTATTGCAGATTCATAGTTTGAAAATATAAACACATGTATTACTTTATTCAAATATGGCTTATACTCTATATTACAAATAAAAAAACATTATTATTGGCTCAAAAATATTTCTTCTAATATTACAAATATGCTTGAAAATGAGTATAGATCATTTTATAACTAGACTGAAAAATTGGATAGTGTTAGTTTAATTTTGTGTTTTATTTATAATCATAAGAATTATGTAGTTTTAGCTAGTTGTTTAACAACTAATTTAAAAACTAAAATAAGAAGATACATTAAAAATCACAGAAATGAAACATTTTTATAGCCTGTAATTTTTAATAAATTTAATAATACAAATCTGGTATTGATATTCTTAATAATCTGCAAGATAATGCACTTTCTTATCATAATGTTTTTACAACAAAATGCTCAAAAAATTGGATTCTTGCTTTTTATTTTTCAATTGCAAAAACTAATAGTTTTTCTGTATATTGTCAATTCATTTTAGAAAAAAAATATAAGATATATAGACTTTTATAAGCAATTAGCAATATCAATTCTTGAATATTACTTAAATGAAACAGTTAGTAATCAAGCTAAAAAAAGATAAAAACAAGATTTTAATAGTAATGAATACTATTTTAACACTTTTTGAAAAAATTATGCAACTAAACAACTTAAAGGAAAGCATATTCAATATTGCTATATAGTTTGTTATAAGCATACAACTACTTGTTACAATTGTTTAATATTACATAGTTTATATACAAATTGTTGATTAATTATTTTCATCACACATATTTTACAGCTTCAATAAGATATGAAATTTTTTTTTTTTTGGTATTAAGGTGACCTTTTTGGTCTTTTGACTTTTATTAATCACTTATCGGTATTGTGGTTTAATGAA